TCTTTGACTCTTCACTTCCAAATTTGACCGTTTTGATCATTCATAGATTTGGAATTGATGTCTGCAGGTTTACTATAGGTTTATACACAGTAGGTCTCCTACATATGAACCTACAAGTTGAGAGCTTTCAAAGATGCAAACATGGAGCTTACTAATGAAGATCTGAACTGAAGGCCCAGAGTAAGGATGAAGATAGACGAGAGGAAGAAGTGACTAAAGAACCAAAGAGATTCACAAAGCAGGAAGTGACAAGGGGATTTTCTTTGTTGGAGGAGGCACTGTTAGTTTCTGAGGCAGAGGACCAGAAGGTAGAACAGTACACAAAGGTTGCAGCAGTTGTTCAGAATGCAGTCCAGTGCTACTGTGCCTTTTATGATGAGAAAAAGAGTTACCACCCAGACAAGCCCTGGATCATTTTTTTCAAGAGGGTAGATAGGATTGAATCCAGCAGGGAAGCAGAACGTATGCTGTCATCATCAGGTGTGAATGAAATCACAGTCTGCCCTCCGTCTCCTATTGCTGATGACCCTTCAGCTGTACCATCTCCCACCTCCTCTCCATCCTCCATCAGTAAGTCTTCCTGCCTCTTCACTCGATGCTAATCCCTGTATGTCAGCTGTTGTACTGTACTGCTGTACTTTTCAAGGTACTGTATTATAAGGTTAAAAGGGTTTTCTTTACTTTTTGTGTTTGTTTGTTATATATTATTGTGTGACAAAGTATTATAAACCTATTACAGTACAGTACTATATAGTCGATTGTGTCAGTTGGGTACCTAGGCTAACTTTGTTGGACTTACGAACATACTGGGCTTAACGAACATGTTCTCAGAACAGAGCTCATTCCTATGTAGGGCACTTACTGTAGGTATACTAAATATACAAACCAATAGAAAATATATAGCATTTTTAGTATTTTATTTAGTTTTTATTTAATACAAAATGATGCATATTGTGATACATTTCTGTAACTTGCTTTATGGACTCAATAATAAATCTTGTAAGTATATTAAATTAACATAGGTTAATGTATATATGTATATATATATTAACATAGGTTTTTCTGCTGTACTGTATTCCATACTATGCATATACTGCCCTTTATACGGCCCTTCCCCTATTGATGGTTGTTCCTACTGCCCTGTGTGTAAGGATTGAAGCCCCCTCCCTTACCCAGTGAACCCACCAGACCCATCAAAGAGACATTCCAAAGGAATGTCAATTCTGCCTAAGGGACAATGAAGGAGTCCAAGAGGACACCAAGTTAGTGAACAGAATTAATTTCTGCAAGGTAAGACCAAATTTTTTAAAAAGACGTAAGTTCAAAAAGATTAATTTTCAAACAGAAAAAATGAGTGGAGGAAAGTTAGCAGAGATGAAACACAAATTAAGATTTACTTACAGAAAAGGATGAAACTAAAAATGAGGACATTTCATAATCCGACACAGCAAAAAGTCAGAGACAGCTATGACTAACAGCTTTAAGGAAGCATTTTTAAATGTGTCATTTAAAAGGAACCACTTTTCAAGTTTCTCTAAAAACACATCAAGAGAAAGTGGGAAACCTCATCCTCAAAATTATACATAATCATTCTGTGTACCAGAAATTAGGGAAAATTTTAATAAAGGAAGGCCTCAGCTGTCTTATTTATGAACTTCACATTTATTTACTAAAGGGTTGTTACTGACAATCACATCCCCCACCCAAATTTGCATGTTGAAGCCTAATTCCCAGTACTCAGAATTTGGCTGTATCTGGCCTTTAAAACAGTCTTAAGATAAAATGAAGTCATATGGGTACTAATCCATGTAAGTAGTGTCCTTAGAAGAAGAGGAAATTTGGACACAGACATACAAGAAACAGAAGGAAGACTTGGCAAAAGCAGTGAGAAAGGAGTCATCTACAAACAAAGGCAAGAGGCCTCCAAGAAACTAACCCTGCCGACACCCAAATCTTAGATTCATAGCATCTAGAACTGTGAGAAAACAAATTTTTGCTACTTAAGCCACCCAGGCTAAGGTATTTTATTATGGCAGCATTAGAAAACTAACTAAGGGTCAATTTTAATATCTTATCATATGAAATGTCACAAAAAAAGCAACTTGAAGTCATAACCTTCCAGGTCTTGGTTCTTTGCCTGTTTGAATGACCCAAACCTTTATTCCAGAAAGATCTGAGTTTTCAATGGTCCTGTATTAGTTTGGACTGCTGATGTTTTCCATTAAGCTTAGCCACTGGACATGAAAGTAGTAAGAGGCTCCAAACACAGTATTCCTTGCTTCCATTGTATGAAAGCAATCCAATATCCTCTTGTTATTCAAGATCAATCACTCCAGCTAATAGGTTCTTTATTCTTCCATGTTGAGTTGATGACTAGAGAGCCCAAAATATCCAGTCTCATTGTCCATTGACTGGAGCCATTGTTTTGCCCTCTGGTGAAAGAATACTTCCCTTAGGGACTAAGATCTTCAGACCTACATGCATAAAGTTGCCAGCTTGGAAATCTATTAAAGTTTGTTAATGGATTATTAGGTGTAACAGTGAGAGGAGCCACTCCCTTCTTTTGATTCCAGGTCCCATGTATTCTGGCTACATGGAGACAGTAACATACAATGGTCTCTGATTCAAAGCACATGCTGAACCCTGTTACACACAGCGCCATCCTATCATGTTGTCTTCCAACTGGTACTATCTAGGAAGTGAAAGTCACTCAGAGGTATCCAACTCTTTTTGAACCTATGGACTATACAGTCCATGGAATTCTCCAGGCCAGAATACTGGAGTGGGTAGCCATTCCCTTCTCCAGGGGATCTTCCCAACCCAGGGATTGAACCCAGGACTCCCGCATTGTGGGCAGATTCTTTACCAGTTGAGCCACTAGGGAAGCCCAAGAATGCTGGAGGGGGCAGCCTATCCCTTCTCCAGCAGATCTTCCTGACGAGGAATCGAACCAGGGTCTCCTGCCTTGTATGTGGATTCTTAACCAGCTGAGCTACCAGGGAAGCCCTGATTAATTACTGGAAAAGTCCAAATTGTTAATTTCACAGATAAAGTATTTCAAGATTTTCATTTTATTCCTAATACAATTTATTATTGTAGAAAACTTCTAAAAATCATACAATCATATAAATAACAATGAATTATTAATAAAAAGAAAGAAGGAGGGACCCAGGGAGAGAGGAAGACCACTTTGATTTCACAGGCAGAGTTAGGGTTGGGAGGTTGGATTATGGTCTCCCAGCTGCTTGGGGTCCTTGGTATAGGACTTATATTTCTTCAAACTCAGCTTGAGTTCAGAATCAAAAGAAAGACTTCAAATAGAAAACTTCTCCTAGATAAAGTGCCCCCTGTAGTCCTTCAGGGCGTGTGGTTTAACCAATGACACTGAGTCACCTGGAAAGAGGTAGAGGAGAGTGTGATCCAAAAAACAGAAAGGAAGGGAGGGAGGGAAAGAGACATTAAATGAGCATACATTTCTTGTTCTTAATTGTTTCTCCAGTCGCCCATTTACTTTCCTTACACCTACCCAGCAACCACTTAAACACATTTATTACAAGCCATATCAGTAGGTCCTAAAATTATTGTTATTTTCAGACTCACCACTTCACTAAGATAAACCATGGTCACACTCTACTCATTCCCTTTGCGTTTTGAGAGCTCCTGTGCACGTATCTCCTTATACTTTCTGCTGCTGCTGCTCTTTAATCATTGAGTCACGTCCAGCTCTGCGACCCAGTGGACTGTAGCCCACCAGGCTCCTCTGTCCATGGGATTTTCCAGGCAAGAGTACTGGAGTGGGTTGCCATTTCCTTCTCCAGAGGATTTTCCCAACCCAGGGACTGAAACTGCATCTCCTGAATTGGCAGGTGAATTCTTTACCACTGAGCCACCTGGGAAAAGTTCCTTATACATTATAGTGTAGGCCAGATAGGCAACCAGAAAACTCCCTCCTCCTCCTTCTCTTTCTCTAGAGTACTCATTATGTTCCAAGTCCTTAAGAACATAAGGACTGTAAAAGCCTCTTATGCAATTCTTCCCATCCTAGACAAAAAGTTTATATGTACCACAAATTTATACTGGTTCCAGTATCAGCCTAGTATTCATTAAAATTCTTATCAATATTATAACAGAATTTGAACTGCTAAACTTACTGCCTGATTAATTACCACAATTTTAACATATAAGAATCAAACTCTAACATTCTAATAGTGAAATCATATAAGAACAGGGTGAAAGCAAGGCAGGGAGGAAACTGTCTATGGCTGGAAGAATGTACAAAGGAGTTATATTCACAAATTTCTGGTGTAGATTTATAGAATTTAAGAGAATACCAAAAGAATGAGAAGCTACTTTTATAACTGAGAAAAACTCTTTAGATGAATGAATTATATATGAATTATAAATCTCCATTCTCCTTAGGTACTATTCTTAAATAGTTGCCAGAACTAACATGACTATAACAGTTTTCTAAGCCCCATAAGATTCTAATCAATCTCTTCAGTGTTAACCAACTTCAGAATTCCTCCTAAGTGAAATAAATATTCAGAGAAAATATTCTAACACTTTGTGACCAACACAGTGAGACCCACGGGGAAAAAAATTCAAGAAAATTTTCTGTGAATGACCAAGTTAAGGAGGCAAATTTTCAGGGAGAGAACATGAGCAGTTCATCTTCTGTTTTCTGTCTTGAGCGAGACACAAAGTGGTAAATGAAAACCCATACAGTCAATCCCTTAAAACAGTCAACCTAAAGGCAAGTCCTTAAGCATCTGATTAGTACATGATAAGAACATCATTCTAGGATCTTAACTATTTATTGTTACATGGTTTCTAAACGAAGTAAAAAGTTCCCGAAATAAAATTTACCAGACATGGAACTGTAGGCTTATATAAAAGTACCTCTGTCTGCTCAGCTCTCTTTGCCTCATTTGCAATCATATAGCAAAAGATTGCTTAAAATAAAACAAGAAGCGATATTGAGTGTGTGAAAACTCCACCACCGCGAGGGGTTTGTGTTCAACTCCTCCTGCAGTCCCAGGCACTGTGCCACTCAGTGCACAAAAGTACTCAGCCGAGTCACTCCAATGGGCTGAGAAGTTCCTCAGGTTGAAGGAAAACTCAGTGCTCTTAAATTCAGCCACGAAGCCTCTAATGCCTTGAACCACGGTGTTCCCTGAAAAGTACTTGAGGAGCAGCTGGGGTCTTTGCCTGGGGTACTGGACATACCAGAAGAGATAGGGAGTTGCACCGTAGGAATAGTTACACTTCAGCTCCAATGAGGTTCCTTCAGAGACCAAAACAGGATCATCAGGCTGGGTCACTGACTGGCCTCTGGAATCTCCTGCAAAATCAATGTCACATCACTAAAAGCAATGCAGACGTCACTATGAAAAGAACTGTATTTGTAGTAAGAGTCTGTAGAACGACAGGCCACTAAGAAATTTTACTCACTCAGGGCAAATATCCCCAGTATTGAGATGAGCAACAGTAGCATGGCTGAGCAGTGGAAACGGTGTGAAGTCTTCTCTGAATGATCTCCCCTGAGCAGACAGGAAAGTGGCAGGAAAAAGAAGTTTAAGGCTGGACAAGTTCCATGCTAAGATAAAAATACAAAAGCTGCTGAGATGAGCCTGAAGCTTTCTGATGTTTGATGTCTGATTCCTCTCTCTTGCCTCTGCAAAAAACTCAGCAAGCTGCAGGAGGAACTGAACAGAGGAAGCTGAACAAGATCTTTAATTTGTGCAACATCGCCCTCTGAAGGCCAAATGTAGAATCTTTGGTTCCAAGGCCCCACGGAGAGCTAATCAGTGTCTTCCTTTTACTTTCTGAGCTATATCAAAAACTTCTGTCTTCCCAATATGTTTTTACCATCCCAAATCTATGATGGTGTGTTAGTCTTAGAGTCTACAGAAATTGAAGAAAAAGAAAAGAAAGTGAAGGCACTCAGTTGTGTCTGACTCTTTGCAACCCCGTGGACTGTAGCCTACCAGGCTCCTCTGTCCATGGAATTTTCCAGGCAAGAGTACTAGAGTGGGTTACCATTTCCTTCTCCAGATGATCTTCCTGACCCAGGGATCGAACCTGGGTCTCCTACATTGCAGGCAGATGTTTTACCATCTGAGCCATCAGGGAAGCCTATAGAAATTAGATGTCATATGAAAGTAGAGTAACAAGTTACTTCACTGAGAAATCAGTTTTTAAAAGGTATCTCAGAGTTGGAATTTGAGTCTATGAGAATCTTTGGAATTAGACTAAATGCCCCAGACAGCTCTGTCATGGTGGTGATGGAAGATGGCAGAGATGTTTTCTTTGACTAATGCTCATGAGTCCACATGATGCTTGTGAAATTTTTTAGACATAAAGACAGGGCCCAAAACTATAAGACATTGGTGAAGAAAATTGAAGGAGACACAAATAAATGGAAAGATATATTGTTCCCATGTATTGGAAGAATTAATATTGCTAAAATATTCATACTACCCAAAGCAATCTATAGGTTCAATGCATGTGGGCATGTTCAGTGGTGTCCAAATCTTTGCAACCTCACGGATTGTAGCCTGCCAGGCTCCTCTGTCCACGGAATTTTCCAGGCAAGAATAATGGAGCAGGTTGTCATTTCCTGCTCCAGGGGATCTTGCTGAGCCAGGGATTGAACCCATATCTCCTGAATTGGCAGACAGATTCTTTACCACTGAATCACCTGGGAAGCCCATAGTTTCAATGTAATCTGTATCAAAATGCCAATGGCACTTTTCACAGAAATAGAAAAAATAATCTTAAAATTTTTATAGAACTAAAAATGATCCTGAATATCCAAAGCAATCTTGAGAAAGAATAGCAAAGTAGGAGGCATCACACTTCCTGAATTCAAGCTATATTACAAGCTAGAGCAATAAAACTGTTTGATGTTGACAAAAAAACAATCACACTGATCAATGGAATGGAGATCCCAGAAAAAACTCACGTATATATGACCAGTTAATTTACAATAAAAGAATATACAATGGATCAAGGACAATGTTTTCAATAAATGGTGAGGAGAAAACTGCACAGCCACATGCAAAGGAATGAAAGAGCACCCCTATTATACCCCATAAAAAAAAATCAACTGAAATGGTTTAAAGATTTGATCATAAGACCTGAAAACATAAAACTCAGAGAAGAAAACATCAAGCTATTTTCAATAACATATATGCATCATGGAAGCATTAAAGTAGTGAAATAAGTGAGATACAGACAAATATTTAATGATATTACTTATATATGGAATCTTAAAAAAGAAAAAAAAAAAAAGCTTATGGAGAACAGATTGGAGATTGCCAGAGGTAGTGGTCAGTACTTCGGTGCAATCTCAAAAGCTGTGGAATGATCTCTGTTTGTTTCCAAGGCAAACCATTCAATAGCACAGTAATGCAAGCCTATGCCCCAACCATTAATGCCGAAGAAGCTGAAGTTGAACGGTTCTAAGAAGACCCACAAGACCTTTTAGAACTAAGGCAAAAAAAGATGTTCTTTTCATCATAGGGAACTGGAATGCAAAAGTAGGCAGCCAAGAGATACCTGGAGTAACAGGCAAATTTGGCCTTGGAGTACAAAATGAGGCAGGGCAAAGGCTAACAAGAGTTTTGCCAAGAGAACACACTGGTCATAGCAAACACCCTCTTCCAACAACACAAGAGAGACTCTACACGTGAATATCACCAGATGGTCAATAGCAAAATCAGATTGCTTATATTCTTTGCAGCCAAAGATGGAGAATCTCGATACAGTCAACAAAAACAAGACCAGATCTAGTACTTTGGGTCTAGAATTTTGGTTTTGTCCTCTCCCCACTCTACCTTCTAGAGGATACTGTCACCTAATTAGGTAGGAAAGTTGGTTCTGCCATGATAATATTATTGTGTTTTCCTCAAATGAACCTAAGTTAATTAGGGTACACTGTAGTAACTAAGATCTCCCTTCTTCCACCCCAAAATGCACTGACTTAAAGAATGTGACTGCTCTCTCAAATAAATACCTCTATCTAAGTGAGAGATCAGGTTGACAGGGCAACTCTGCTGGGTGTAGTGATTCAGGGGTGCAGGCTCCTTCCTTCATGGTGCTCTTTCATCCCCTAGGGTATTCCTTGACTCTACACATGGACATCACCAGATGGTCAATACCAAAATCAAATTGATTATATTTTTTGCAGCCAAGATGGAGAAGCTCTACATACGGTCAACAACAACAACAAAAAAGACCGAGAGCTGATTGTGGCTCAGATCATGAACTCCTTACTGTAAAATTCAGACTTAAAGAAAGTAGGGAAAACCACTAGGCCATTCATGTATGACCTAAATCAAAGCCCTTGCAATTATACAGTGGAAGTGACAGATTTGAAGGATTAGATTTGCTAGACAGAGTGCCTGAAGAATTATGGATGGAGGTTTGTAACATTGTACAGGAAGCAGCGATCAAAACCATCCCCAAGAAAAAGAAATGCAAAAGGCAAAACGGTTATTGAGGAAGCTTTACAAATAGTTGAGAAAAGAAGAGAAACGAAAGGCAAAGGAGAAAAGGGAAGATATATCCATCCAAATGCAGAGTTCCAAAGAATAGCAAGGAGAGATAAGAAAGCCTTCTTAAGTGAACAGTGCAAAGAAGTAGAGAAAAACAATCGAATGGGAAGGACTAGAGGTCTCTTCAAGAAAATTAGAGATACCAAGGGAACATTTCATGCAAAGACAGGCACAATAAAGGACAGAAATTGTATGGACCTAACAGAAGCAGGAGATCTTAAGACATGGCAAAAATACACAGAAAAACTACACAAAAAAGATCTTAATGACATAAAAGACCAGGATGGTGTGATCACTCACCTAAAGCCAGACACCTTGGAGAGTGAAGTCAAGTGGGCTTTAGGAAGCATCACTACAAACAAAGCTAGAGGAAGTGATGGAATTCCGGATGAGTTATTTTGAATCCTACAAGATGATGCTGTGAAAGTGCTGCACTCAATATGCCAGCAAATTTGGAAAACTCAGCAGTCGCCACAGGACTGGAAAAGATCAGTTTTCACTCTAATCCCAAAGAAAAGCAATGCCAAAGAACGTTTAAACTACCATACAATTGCACTCATTTCACATGCTAGCAAAAGAATGCTCAAAATTCTCCAGGCCAGGCTTCAACAATATGTGACCTGAGAACTTCCAGATGCTCAAGCTCAATTTAGAAAAGGCAGAGGATCCAGAGATCAAATTGCCAATATCCACTGGACCACAGAAAAAGCAAGAGAATTCCAGAAAAACATTTACTTCTGCTGCACTGACTACACTAAAGCCTTTAACTGTGTGGATCACTACAAACAGTGGAAAATTCTTAGAGATGGGAATCCAAGATCACCTTGCCTGCCTCCTGCAAAACCTGTATGCAGGTCAAGAAGCAACAGTTAGAACCGGACAAGGAACAATGGACTGGTTTCAAATTGGGAAAGGAGTTTGTCAAGGCTATATATTGTCACCCTGCTTATTTAACTTCTATGAAGAGTACAACATCAGAAATGCTGGGCTAGACAAAGCACAAGCTGGAATCAAGATTGCAGGGAGAAATATCAATACCCTCAGATATGCAGATGACACCAACCTTATGGCAGAAAGCAAAGAGGAACTAAAGAGCTTCTTGATGAAGGTGAAAGAGAAGAGTGAAAAAGCTGGCTTAAAACTCAACATTTAGAAAACTAAGATCATGGCATCTGGTCCCATCAGTTCATGGCAAATAGATGGGGAAACAATGGAAACAGTGACAGACTTTATTTTCTTGAGCTCCAAAATCACTGAGGGTTGTGACAGCATCCATGAAATTAAAGATGTGTGCTCCTTGGAAGAAAAGCTATGACAAACTTTGACAACATATTAAAAAGCAAAGTCATTACTTTGCCAACAAAGGTCCACCTAGTTAAGCTATGGTTTTTCCACTATTCATGTATGGATGTGAGAGTGGGACCAGAAAGAAGGCTGAGCACTGAGAAATTGATGCTTTTGAACTGTGGTGTTGGAGAAGACTCCTGAGGGTCCCTTGGACTTCGAGGAGATCAAACCAGTCAATCCTAAAGGAAATTAACCCTGAATATTCATTGGGAGGACTGACGCTGGAGCTCCAGTACTTTGGCTACCTGATGTGAAGAACTGACTCATTAGAAAAGACCCTGATGCTGGGAAAGATTGTAGGCAGGAGGAGAAGGGGATGACAGAACTTGAGATGGTTGAATGGCATCACCAACTCAATGGACATAAGTTTAAGCAAGCTCCAGGACATGGTAAAGGACAGGGAAGCCTGGCATGCTGCACTCCATGGAGTCGCCAAGAGCCAGACATAACTGAACAACAACAACAAGTGGTCAGGGATGTTGGGGAAAATGAATGAAAGTGGCAAAAAATAAGACAGAGTCCATATTGATGAGAGTAGTGCTGCCGTGTTGAAAGAAGTACCTCTGGTTGGGAAGGCTTTGCCTTAAGG